TCATAAAAATCAAAAATTGTTTGATCGTTTGTGCGATATCGTCAACTGCATAAATCAGTGTTTTGACAACATCATTTTGTCAGTATCGTTTGAACGACTATCGTTTCAAAGTTACGTGATTCATGCCCAGTTGCAACAAATGAGTTCATACATATTTATGTACATACATAGGTACAAAGCCGTATGCATGTGCGGAGTTTAAATAATCGGAAGTAATAATAAATTGAAGCGCATTTCCTCTTACTATGCATATGCCTAAATGTATGCAACCATTTGGCAAGCAAACACAGGGTGATTCTAATGAAAATAAAAATGTTATGCTGCAATACACATGCTAAGCCCTTCGAAATTTTGTGCTGGGATATGCGTTACAGCTTCGCAAATTTTACCCCTACCGAAACCAAAGATGTATACACATAAAAAAAAAAATGTATCCTCGAGACAAAAGCATCGATATCTCGTACTTTAAGAACCTACTGTAAATGCCGAAGATATGACGAAAATTTGCAAAAGGCGTAGGGGGTAGCCAAAAACCAAAATAGAAATAGAAATCGCCTTCGCCTAATGATTTTTGGCGAGTTTTAATTTATTGATACTAAGGGGTGGAAGTTGGGGTAATAAAAACCGAGGCCTTGGGTGTAAGTACTGGAACGGGGTAATTGAGGTCAATGAACCTTGGGAACAAAAAACACGAACTTTTTTTTTTCTAAATTGCCGTGCAAAATTACATTAGAGTCAAGGGATTAGAGCGAAATTTTTTTTCCGGTACGGTCTAATGTGCATATATTTGTATTGTATGTATGTTTGCCATAACAGATTGTCAAATGAGTTTTTGCAATTGGCGCTTCCATTTCTGAGGCCCAACCAACTTACCTTTGTTTTGCAAAATTTTCGACATTAACGAAGCGACGTCCATTTGTTGCTGCTGCTGCTGCTATTGGGGCATGTTGTTGTTGGTGTTGGTGTTGTTGTTGTTGCTGCTGGCTGCCTCTACTAGCTGCCAGTGCAGCAGGCGTGTGTGTATCATTATCTCTGTTCGTATAAATCGTATAGGTGCCATCCAAATTGTTATTCACTTTGTTGTTGCTGTTAGGCAGCGCTGTATTACTGCTACTATTACTGTTATGCTCCTTTGGAGAATTTTCGGCGGAACGGAAATTGTCTATCCATGCAAAAACAAAAAAAAAAAACATTAAATGGTTAGTTGCTTTCATTTGCATGTGGGAATTACAATTAAACAATCAATCAAACCTGGAGCAAAGGCGCCACCACCAAAGCCACTCGAACGTTGCATGGAGCGTGTTCCTATCACAACTGGTTGCACCAACGATGACTGCTGTGATTGCCTTTGTTGCTGTTGCTGTTGCGCTCTTCTACGTTGTTGTTGTTGGTGTTGCTGTTGTTGCTGCTGCTGCTGGTGTTGTGCGGGCAGACCATAGTTAATTTTCGGATACGTTGAACTCATATTCATTTGTTGTTGTTGTAGCTGCGCATAGGCGCCCATGCCTGCTTGATTGTAGGCGGTTGGCTTATGAACGCGCATATAGTTGGTATTCATTGCCATACGATCCATGGCTGGGAAACTGCACACATACAAATACATATGCAAATGTAAATGCATTTATAAAGTAGGCGTGGTCGTATGTAGGAAGTGAGAAGTAAATAAGTTTAAACGAGCTCGTTTTTGAAAGTTCACGTTCGTGCAAATTTAATGCAAATTACCGTGAATTTACTGCTTGACGTGTAAAGCGGCCGCTAATTCCCGCGCAGTTGCTGTCATTGGCCGCTGCTGCACCACCAACACCGCTACCCTTGGACGCAGACTTGCCGCCATCGGCGCCGCCGCAGCCACCACCCCTGCCTCCACTACCACCACCGCCACTGCTGCTTGTGTAGGTGCTATCAGAGCTCCTGCCTTCCATGGAGGAGTCCGAGCAGGATTTAGCAACGAGTCGTCGGCTCAAGTAGTTGCCATAGTCGGCTGTGTGGGCGGAAAAGGTAAGAAAATGTTATTATCAAACTTTTTTGTGTGTGCATGGTAAGCAAATGTAAAAAAATACCCATACAAAAAAGAGAAGCAATAAACAATTGCATAGTTATGAATGGCGGCTGACATTCATGGGCATAGTTATGCGCCTACCTACAGGCATAAATATTTATGTATACGCGCGTTGTTAGGTCAACGTCATAAACAAACAACCCAAAAGGGGTTGAAAACTAGAAGGCAATGCATTAAAGTCTCGTAAGTAAAGGTTGTCGATTGGTAATGAAAAGCAAAATCTCGTTAAACCACTTACTGATAATATGCATATGTAAGTACATAAATAAACATATTGATAACAATGAATAAAATAATATTTTGAAGGTTGTTCGGGAAAATTCTTTAACTCTATTCTATTTGTAATGCAAATCTATGGACTTATTGATATTTTGGTGACTTTTGACGATTTTCTCTACATTTACTTACCATTTGTTGACTTCTTTGTCGCATGCCCGTAGTACAACGGTACATTGCTGCCAACAATATGATGGAAATTGTGTGAATGCAAATCGTTCTGAAAAAAAAAAAAAAAACACATGTAAGTATAGGTAAAGAAAAATAAAAGTGAGTATCGTAGGGAAATATGATATCCAAAACAGTTATGTATATGTAGCTATTATTCCTTAAAATCGGAGTTATATGTACAAAAGTTTTAACTAGTGAAGCAAAATAATGGGGTTTTAAAGTAAATATATCTACGGTGATAATCGGTTTATTTCAAAGGTTAGTCCCTTTTCCCATGATGGTGTCCTTTGAGTTTATTTATTTTTCTAAAATATTATTTTGTTCTTTATTTCACAACTTGCCTATTGAAAGTACTTTTTGATACTGTGATGCCCTCTAACGCATTCTATATATTAAAGCCTAGTAAACTAATTTTGAAGAAAAAGCAGATAATACAAAGAAGTTGGTGTGCTCATGATTGTCCGTTACCTTGTCGAGCCGAGTGCACTTACCATTCTTTTTGAATGTAGTAAAAAATAGAAAATGAGGAATGTGCAAAGCTATACTTCGCTATTGGGATTAACCATAGCTTAGGTTAACAGGGCAATTCTAAATAAATAAATTTTTTTTTTGCTTTTTAAAACAATATCAAAAATTAAACTGGAAATACAATTAAATAAAAAAAGCTTAAACCAAATTAAATTAAATAAAAAAAATAATAAAACGGATTAAATTAAAAAATAAAATAAAATTAGTTTCTAACAATTAAATAAAATTTAAAAAGATATTTTTCTTTTTAGTCAATAAAATCTAAAAATCAAAAGAAAATGCATATAAATAAGAAAAAACTTAGTTCCTTAAAATTAAAAAAATATTCTTCTTTTTAAAAGAACGTCTAAATATTAAAAAAAAAAAATTAAATAAAAAAGAGACAAATACCTAAAATAAGTTTCTAAAAATTAAATGAAATTAAAAAACATATACTTGTACTATATATACTAATAGCTAAAAATAAAATAAAAATAATTAAAGAAGAAGAAATTGTGAATTAAAAAAAATATATAAAAATTCCGCTGACCGAGATTTGATATCGGATCTCGAATGGCACGCCTGTGCTCTTCCCACTCGGCCAAAGATGATATACAAGTGCTTTCTCTCAAAATACTTTTTCAACACGTGGGGTGAATGAGAGAGCTTTTTTTCTAAGACTTTTGAGCTAGAATAACAAAAGCCTTTCGAGTTATCTTGTCATCTGTCTTTCATTTCTGGTACGAAGGAATTTTTACTATCTTAGCCAGAATTTCCTTTGTAAGTTACGTTAGCTGCTACTTAGTAAAGAGAATGTAGAGTTACACTTCGTAATCTGATGTATACCAAACCTGCCTTCTCATGTAAAGAATCCACTAACTTTCCCGTATAAAGCAGATAATGTTGTGAATACTCAAGGTTGTCGTATTTATTACAAGGCAGGATAGTGGCAGAAAAAGTGATCGATACCATTTATATCCTCCTCGTTCCTGAAACTGTGGTAGAAGTCATTAGAGGGAAAGCCTTTGCGCTTCCTCTTTTATTCCCATTGAATAGTGTCCATTGATAAAACCAATCTCTGAGCTAATTTAGAGGCGAGCTAGAGATTCAGATCTGTTTCCATTAATTCCTGATCCACGTTCAATAAAAACAGATCTAAGCCAGAGATCGTTTGAATATACACAAATTTATTGACCGCGATTGGGCAGAATAGAGCAATTACATGTATGTAGATTACTGCCATTCTGTGCCACCGTGTTCGCAATGTTGTCTCCATGAATTGCTTCGAACCATTCTTTCTTGAATCGCTACGTTAAAAGTGTTATTGTTACACTGTCGATATTAAATCGGAGATGGAACAAGAGTCGATCTTTTTCCATTTTGCCATTCTTTCCTAACGGGATTCTTGTCGAATTTTAATAGAAACTTTGGTTCTCTGTCGATTGCTGACTGTAGGGTCTGCAGCTGTACCTCTCTGATTAACGCGAGCCTTTGCTGTTGAAAGCTGTACACTCGCAAATTATATGCTTCACGGTTTCCTCGTGATAGTTACATTTCCTAAATTTGTTGTCTTCTAGAAAACCTAACTAAACACCATGAGCTCTTAGCAAACGAGTCTGTTCTTCTTGTTGGTATTGGAGAATCAGTAAGTTTCCAATATCTGAATTACACATAATTTTTGCATGTATGCAACCCTGAGTTCTTTTCCAAAGTCTATTCGCTTGGCGTTACATGAGCAGATCTTGTGAAATATTTGATTTTCCGAAGAGGAATTGGTATATTTGCATCTAAGAGGACGACTTCCTAGGCTAGCTCGTCAGATTTCTCATTAGCTTCCACATCTTTGTGTATTGGGACCCAATATATTTAGGTGGACAGTTTTAGCCAGAACAAGACTTCGGCTTCATAAATACTGCAATGATCTGGTAGAGTACAGAACATACTAATTACTGGTTCACTGCAATAAACTGCAGCTCCTACTCCTTCATCCATTTAATAACCCTCTGTCTAGATGTGCGTTGCGTTCCCTTTCCACTCCACGCCCTTACGCCAACCGTCAACCTCTACTGTAGAGAGACCTTTCGAAACTCAGACGTGGGATCACGTAGTCTATTCGCCCGGTTGAGGATGACGCTATACTACTGTGACCATATGTTCTGAATCCAAGCTGCGGCATAAAGCTTGGCGGCAGTTGTGAACGCTGTGTTTTTGGCTACCAAATCCGCTGGTGACATGTGTGACATTTATATTTTCTAAAATAATTTCGGGTAGCCGAAGAGCCGGGCCTGTCTATGGCTCCCACCACTACCCAGTACCTACTGCGTTCAGAGTGTACCCACTCAGTAATTATGGCTCTCGAAGAGGGCCAACTGAAACCACAGAATGGCTCAGCTCCCAAAAATGCAATTAGCGATACTTCTCGTACTAACTCGTCGGCGATATAATTGCCTTCGATTCCACAATGACCTGGTACTCAGAACAGTGTTATAGTGGTTTTGGCTGCCAAAAAAGAAATTTTTGGGAGTCAAAGTAGTCTTTTAAAGGGCTCGGATGGCTTGGCTATCTGAAAAGATAACTTGAAAGGCGCCCTTAAAACAATTTTCAAGGTTTAATTTTGCGCAGTTTAAATATTGCAACTATTTTAGCCTGAAACACCGTGGACCCTTTGCCCATGGGAATTGCAAGTTTGGCGCTGGGTCCGAAAATATCAGCAATTGCTCTGTCCTACATCCTTGAACCATCTGTTTACCAGTATACGTATCTGGGATCAAGTGCAGGGAGCCCATTTGCACAATCTTCGCAATCGGGGATTACCACTTGAAATATTGTGCCAAAGCAGTTCTCTTTAGTCATGGATCTGTTTCAATCTTTCTAAATCTATTAAGCTTTAAAAACGATTAAATTCACTGATACGTATAAATAACTTTTCATAATTTGAGAGAAATAATATTCAAAAAACGAATTATGAAAGGGAAGTGTACAACAATTGAAATGTCTCCACACTCCATAGTGCAATAATTAATATTCGTATGATTTACATAGCATTCCTTTACATGTTACACTTTATAAATTTCATCACTCACCCATGCCCGGAAATTTGCCGGCACTAAATTGAACATTGGAAACGCTTGATAGATATCGACCATTTTTCGTCTGCTATATTTCGGATCAATCACAAATGGTAGAACCATTTGTTGTTCATACGCTTTGGATGCACTTAAAAAAAAAGTAAGATTCCTTTACTTTACACGTAGTACACCAAAATACACACACTCAAACAAAAATGCACAAATTCTAAAGCATACAGGCTTTCCTGTTATTATTGCAGAACTCCTTTCGCTGCGGCGTGTATCCATGCAAATTCGCTTTAAACCTTCGGCAACAAAAGTCAAACTGCAACTGTTAGTTGCCTGTAGGCATGGCGTAGTTAAGCATTTGTGTGGTATATAGCCGAAACACTGCCATGCAAATATCAAAGCATATACATACATATCTATTATGTGTATATAAGTCAATGTATATGTCTAGTAGTGTAAGCCTGAAAGCGCATTCCCCTGTAACAAAATTAGCCAGTCGGTTGTCTATCAGCTGCTACTCAAAACAGGCGTTTATCCTTTCAAAAAAACTTTGCTTCTGTATTTGTATGTTTACATTTGTGTGTTGTCTGTATTTGTTTAGAATACCTGCTCCTTTATTATTAGTACAAATATACAAATGTTCGCACGTAACATACTTAGCACTTTGTTAATAATTTTCAGCAGGTTTACGGACGATATATGTACATATGTATCTATGTATGTAATTACATACATACACGTATGTTCAGAACTATTGTGGGAGGATTGGTATGTCTGCAAAGCGCACAATTGTGCTATCTCCCACAACTTAAAGCGGCGTGACCAATTTAAATTTCCACGAATTCGAAATATACATACATATGTATGTACATTAGGCTGAATCGCACTCCATAAAAAAAATCGGTACTGGTTTTCTATGTGAATTATAAACTGTTACCTTGTTTATACCGATACATAAAGCGCTTTGATCCAGTTCGCTGTAATTCAAAACGGATGCATAAACCAAATTTCAATGCGCTCTGAATTTCAATGGTGTATTGACTCGAATTTGAATTCGAACCGGTTTTTTATTTCTCACATCGGTTAGAAAACAGGTATAAACACATCACTCATTTGACGCGAAGTGAAAATAGGCTGGCTTTCTTTATACAGCCCAGTTTGAATTTGAATTATTATTTAAATAAATTTGACTTATTGTTCGCTTCCATTTCGGTCAATCGCGCAAATCAATTATTAAAGAAATATCGAAATAAAACAACACAATTTTTATAATTTTGAATACGGTTTCAGCGAGTGCGCTGTAAAGACACAGGTATAAACGCTTAAAAGGAATATGTGTTGAGGCAAATTGGTTTTTTGTTAATGCGGTTCTTGCGTAGATATAAACAAGGTATGTATTTTATTTGAATACTTTCTGCAAAATTTTTTGGAAATATATTGATATTTACATGAGCTTGGCCCATTT